ACTCATAGATTTATATTTTTGTGTAGAAAATATAATTGTTCTCCATTAATGTTTTTTATTTGTATAAGCATTATTTTTGAATTTCCTCGTGAAATTTACTGATAATTGTCTTAGAAAGAAATTCCACACATTCGTAAAGAGAGAAAAATTCTGATTTTAGCTTAAATCAATTATCTTTTGATGGCTCAAAAGAAATTTATAAATATTTTGTGCAAGGACTTTCACTTCACAGAGAGATCCGCGATAACATGAAGTTATCTCCTTTTTTCTCTTGTCAAGGAATAGAGAACTATTCTCATTTACATCTTAACAGTACTGAGGAGAGAGTATGTATGAAAATCATAATCTATGATCTTTCTCAAGTTTTGATTGATAAAATCAAACAAAAAATCTATTTCTTACCAAATAATATTTTTTGAACTTGGTGCAAATTTAACTTTCCATTGATGAATTCCAAGTATTTTACTTGTTGATGTTTGTGGTCGATGATTTCGTGTAAAATATGTTCGATGAAAATCTGAATAAACTCTACAAAAAAAAATAAACTTATTATATCTAAGAATAAAAAAAAAAACATACTTATGTGTTTGTTCAACTGTTGAAAATGTTATAAAAGCTAATCCACATTTTTTCTCTTTTACATTTACAAATTCATCTTCTACACATTGTTTATAATACTTATATAAGTTTTCGTAATATTCAATTGCATCAATCTAATATTGTCAAAATAATTTAATCATATGTTATTATATATATAAAACAAACCTCTTTAGCACAACACTAAAAAACATATTAATAAATAAAAATTTGTTTTTTTCTAATAATATAGACTTACACCACACATTTGTCCAAATTTATTATTATAAACAATAGGACGTTTGCCTGTTTGTTGATACATATCTTTACTTTGTTCCCAAATACGAAGATTAAGTTCTCTAATATAAAAACATTTTTTTTTTTTTGTAAAATCAAAACGAATCTAAGAAAAGAACAAACCGATGTTTATAAAAATGTTGTAATTGAATTATATTATAGACCAATGTTAAATGTGTTATTTCGAATGATGGATATGCTTCTCTATTAATTTTTAAATAATTACAATTAATTAATTGATTTTTGTTTTTTTTTTTTTCGTAACTCACCGAAAATACTCATTTAACTTTTCTTCATCACATACATTTCGAGGAATTCCACGAATTATTAATGTTCGAGAAGCCTTAATGAACAATTTTATATTTCTAGTGTTAATCAAGAATCAAATTTGTCTCCTTTCTAATTATTGGATTACATACAGTGGCGTACGCAGGGGGGGCCCGGACCCCCCTTTGAGACGAAAAGTTCTGGAGGGGGGTACAGGGAAAAATTTTTTTGCGTCATGGCGCCCCCTCCTTGAAAAATTTCTGCGTACGCCACTGATTACATAGGTCCTTATTGTTTTATATAATTTCTTCTAAAAACGAAACACTATACAGACAACATAAAACTCTACTTTTTCTTTTGATTCTTCATCTTCATACTACGAATTTTAAAAATAATATTAAAAATTGAAATATTCTATTTATTTCTACATACCATATCTTCCGTAGTATAATATCGTGTAGTACTTTTATATAAATAAACAACAATAATCCCAACTAATACAAATAATATCGATGTACATGCATGAATCCAAAGTAATGATGAACTTTAATAATAAAAAAAAAAAAAAAAATTCTTTATCAATTATTGTATTGATATTAACACTTACTTTGGTGATAAATTTCCAATAGTTGTCTGAGCAAATTTTTCTTCATTTGTTCCTAAAATGAAAAATATGATTTATTTTAATTAACTGTTTTTTTTTTCAAACCTTGTCTTCCTTGAAAATTAACTGGTAAGATAACTGCTAATGAAAATAATGTCACGAAAATTAAATATATAATTAAATATGTATGAAATAATAGATAATAATATGCATCGACTGAACAATTTTTATAAATATCTTCATTACTAAATTTACAAAAATATTATTGGAAATAAAATAAAAATTTTTATTAAAATATACATACGTAATTCTAAATAGATCTCGAACCCATAACCAATGTGTCTAAATAATAAAACAAAAAAAAAACTTTTTTAAATTTTTTCAATATAGAAAATTTTACTATTAAGCAAGAGAAGAAAAAAAACAAAAAGCATATGCATTAATTGATCTGAAATCTGCAAATCCTTTACCATACAATATCGATGCAAATAAGATTCTGTATTCTATTTAAAAATAAGTAAAATAAATAATAATAAGCGTCCCTGATTTATTTTTTTTAATATGTATGTATAATGCATAAAATAAGCGGTGTAAAATAATTAAATGATCAATATTTTATGACTTACATTGTCAGTAAGATATCGTGATGCATTACTTCGTCCATAGAGTAAATTTGATATTCTAAGAAAACAAAAAAAAAAATTGAATTTTTGTAAGAAAACCTTATTTTTTTTTCAAATATATTTACTCTGATCCATCAGTAATGTTTCTTGAATCAGAAAAACGACGTCGTAAATAAACAAAAAGTAATAAGAGAATCTAATAATGAAAATGTTCTTTAGTTCGTTTTTTTTTTAAATTACTATTTCATACCGCTGAGATGATAAGATTGACAAGAATATTTTCAGGAATTCCTTCATATGATCGAATAATACCAAAACCAGTTGAATTTAATCGACCATAATATGAACAATTATCTTTAGTAATATTTGAAGATTTATCATTAATCAAAGAGAATATAGTCATTTGAGAATATTCGTTAGTTTTGTTAAATTTAGATTTTATTTTCAATAATTCTTTTCTATATTGATATTAGATTTAATTGAATAATAAGATTAAAAGGCATCTAAAAAAAAATATGAATTCCGATTGGAGGATTAAAACTATATGTTTTTATGCGCAATAATTACTTTTACGCATGAATACCTATTAGTAAACAATAATGAGATAAAAGATGACAGAAGTGAATACAATTAGAAACAAAAGAAATTGACAAAGAGATTTATCGTTGTTCTTCAAAGTGTCTGTCCGAACAAAGAGATCAACTTTCGATTGGATAAGACTCTTCTTTTATTCCATCATATCAAATTGTTTATCAGGATGTCGCTAGTGTATAATATCGTCGGGTTTTCCTGTATGTTTGAAATAATGAATGCATACACGCTGGAGTTATCTGAGTATACGAACATTGATCCGAATGAATAACCGGCAAGAGATTTATAATAATACAAAAAAAGCTTTCTTAACAAAATACATCTACTCAAAAGTTTACATTGAACCAACATGAAATAAAAAAGACTTGAGCCGCTATTCATTAGGTTAAAATCGTCATAAAGAAGCACATCTTTCTCTAATATATATAAAATCAGAACTAGAAATTCTTTTTTTAACATTAAAATCATTAAACCCACAGATTGACATGAAATTATTCTACAATGCATTTTAATAGAAAAGTTGAAGCAAGAAAAAAAAACATTTCAATTTAAGCATATGCCTGCGTCATTTAATTACTCAGTCAAAGATAACATTCGATGTAACAAGAAACGTAGCTAAAAGTTCATTATTAAGTACTTAAATTTGCTTAAAATGTCTCATGAAGTAGTAATGTGTGAATTTTTGTCAGACATTGCTTATATAAAGCGTTTCTATCTCAATAAAAGCGTTACGTCGGCTTTATCAGTAACAAGACACTCAATGGTACTGCAAACTCAAAGTCTTTTTTTCGTGAAAATGAAAGATCTGAAAAATTAATATTAATTTTGTATTTTTCTCTCTCTTAAAAGTAAATATGCCTTAGGAAGTAGAGTAGGTGTGCACTTTTATTCTACATGGACATACTATACAAATTGTAAACATGACTTCTAATTTCTCAGCTGATAAGTTGTTTGTTTTGGATTTAGTTGAAAGTTTGGTTCAAAAAATCGTTTTCGATACTACTATAATTATTTCGACTATTATTCATATTCACCAAATTTTGCTTTTTTTTAGTTATTCAAATCAATGGCATTATTAATGTATTGCAACATTTTATTTCATTTTCTTTGAATGTAGTACAGATTGCTTGTATAGTATCTTTGCTTTCGTATCACATTGTTTTCGAGCTCAAACAGGCATGAATGTAAACAACCATATACAGAAAATTACGACAATCTAGATGGTCCTCTTGTGTAATCGTATGACACTGTATCCTATACCGCGAAATACGATGATTTATGGAGAAAAATGCTTCTTTACTGCTGTTATATACGAAGAACGACTGCATGTGCACGGGTGTATACGGACTCCGTATTCTTTGACCTGGATTATATTAAAATATCCAATTCATTCATTTTCTAATTGATAACTAGATATAAAATTTATCAAATAATTGAAGTGTTTCAGACAGAGTTGAACTATATTAGATTGATCTTCGTCAACTGTATTGTACTCTATTGTTTTTTGAAAGAGCAATACAATTTGATGATCTGATTTATAACTTAACTTTTATCTTGAGAACTTATACAAAAGCAGAGGCGCCAGAGGGAGGGGAGGTGATGATCCTCTGTCAATCTTGAAAAATTGTTTTTATCCAGTATAGAGTTCCAGCGTTTAGATGTTTTGTTTTAGTCACCAATTCCTAAAGAAGAAGGACATTCCTCTGAATCTGGCCAACTTAAGCAAAAATATTTTGGCCAAATTTCTGAATCATCAGGCCTTCTCCAAATTCTGCTGGTGTTGGAATTCCTTCCGTGTAGAAGTTTATACTAAAATGAATTTTGATTTCTGTGTTTCACATGAATATAATCTGTTATTTTTTTTTTGTTTTGGATAACTGTATATCTAATATGATTCTACAGAAAATCAGATAAAAAAAAAGAACTACCAAAGCCTGATCAATTCATTTTATATGTTCGAATATAATAAAGAAATTTTTTCAACTGATATCTTTTATATGTCAATTCAAAAGACTGCAATGAACATGTATTATATTGAAATATTAAGGTGCTGGTTTAGCAATTAAAAAAGCATCCGATTCAACATTACACATGTTGACTCCACGTTGAATTCTAACGTAACCGTCTTCTCCCCATCCAGAACTCCATGAGTTACGTAGTTTCCAATAATCTAAACCCAAGTTTGGATCATGTCCGTATCCCACAATAACCATAGCATGATTATTATTAGCTGCTGATGTAACACATCCATCCATTTTAAAAATTCCACCTGTATAACTTTGAAATGCGTGCATAATTCTGCTTGCAGCAGTTGGATCTACTGGACACTTTGATTTTGCAGTACCAGAACAGTCTGAACCAACATATAAACTTACCCATAAAGGGCCAAAAGCAAGAAGTGCTTCTTGCATAGCTGATGCATTTCCTGGTGTTAGATGACGATAAACTGAAGTATCAACAGACCATCCACCGGTTTTTTTAGCGGAACAAGTGGAAGCCACGGCTTTATAAGGATAATCTGTAGCACTATTTAGATACCAAGCATAACTTTGTACATAAGCAAATGATGTATCAAAATAACCACCAACACATCCATAATCACCTGTTGAACAATCAACAATTTGTTGATCACTCATATTAACTGCTTGTCCAAAATGAAAGGCATATTGAGCTTCAAATAAGGTAATTATAGCAAATGCATAGCAACTTCCACAATATCCTTGATCTCTAATTGGTCGTATAATTGGTACACTAGTATTCAATTTTGATACTTCCGTTGTATAATCAAATGTAGCAGGTGGTATTACTGGTGTTTGATTGTTATATTTTTTCGATGCTCTACCTCGTGGCGTTCGAGAAAAAGCCACCATGCCATAATTGGTTCGTACGGCCGAAGCTGGTGGACGATTACCACGAAGAATTTGTAAGTCTTTTGGTTTCCAATCAGAAAATTTATTAAGACCAACTGTAAATGTAAGATTTGATTCAATATTGCTTTCAACTGCTTCTTTGAGTCTGTTTTGAAAGATCTGGTAATGTGTTGTCTCGTTATCTGGTGCTTGATATTGACGAGGATGATCATTTCGAAATGATTGAAACATTGTACGATAAAATGTCTCATTTGAAAGTAAAGCACGTTTATCCGATACGCGTGCTAAATAATTCATGAGCATTGTTTGAGATGGATCTCTTGCTATTGTTGGATATGATATAGCAAGAAGAAGGCAAATAGAGAGTATAAATTGTTTCATTATTTGTACTGAAAAACTGTAACCTGATTAAATGACATATATAGTACTTCTTATATATATATATAATATTTATGTTAGAGAGATGGTAACATATGTACCACTTAGTAATGATATATCGATATTTTCATTAATAGCACCATATGTATATGTATTTTGTATGTAGCAATAATAAAAAGTACATACTTTTTAACTGTGTCACCTTATGAAACAATATTATATTTGTCTGATTTCGTTTGTTGTTATAAAAGAAGTAAAATATTATTTATGAAAACAAAATTTTTTCTCATTTATAATGAAAATAAGTTTGTTTGAGTTAATCACATTTTGATGAGTTGATTAAATCATTAGAAAAGTAAGATGGATTTTGAATCTTTTCAATAAGTAAAAGATTTGTCTCCAAATTAAGGACGCATAAATTAAAAGATAATATTAATATGATGTACAATAAATAAAAATCAAATATATAACAGATGGTTGTGTCGTACAAAGTTCGAAAGAAAAAATATCGAAATGAAAAAAAATATTAACAAGAGGATATGGATGTGAGTACGAAAGAAGAATGCAATCACACTCACATACATACTAGAGATGAAATTGATTGAAGTCTTTCAAAATTTACATTGAACAGATACTGAAATCTCTAAAAATCGAAACAAAAAAAAAATTTTTTTCAACTTCTCTAAGAATAACTAAAACTATCCAATATTTATCTCAAACCGTTCGTCTAATTTCGAATGGTTTCCATCTATCATTATATGTATTAAAGATGAAATTGGTTCAGGTTTTTCAAAATTTAAACTGAACTAATTCTATCTTTGATGAACATCTACATCTTCAAAATTGAAAGAAACCAAAACAATTGCAATACAACTTCGTATACACAATGTTGAAGGACAATCTTTTTCTTTCTTCATTTGTGTATAATCTCTGTTAGAATATTAGTATTTTGCCATATAATTTAAAAAAATGAATCTTGTTAGTCGGAATCTTCTAAAGTAGTTTTCAACCTTTCTATGGTCAACCAATAAATGAATCAAATATTACTGACTAAGTGATTCTCTGCTTAGATAAATAAAAATTTAAAGTGAAACAGATCATCTCTATTATGTCAGTTATTTGTTACAACTTTCATCATGTATTGGATCAAACAGTTTGTCATATTTATGAATGGACTAATTCCTACTAGATATTGTTTTCGAAAAGTAGATTGAAACGAAATATGTACTTACATTCAGAAAATATATAGAAAAACGATGTTAATTTCTAATTAAATATACATATCATTCTGCTCACATATGAAATAGGCGGAGGCGTAAGACAATCGACGAAACACTTGACAACAGATGGCATATTATTAATTTTAATATTTTTTCTTAAAGTAACTCTCGAACTGAATAACAGTTATCTCGAAATTTTGAGTGATTTTTATAAAAATTTCTAATTAATAACGAATCATTAACAGTATAACAGGGAGTCCAAGAAGCGAACTGATAAACTCCCAAAGTAATTCAGACGTACTTATCATTCAATGAGTTGAATCATTGAGCTAGCGTGTACTAACGATAAATAGTGATGAAATGTAAGTTAGTAATTTGATTAAAATATAGAGCTATTTGCTTTGTAAGTTAATCAAATAAAACATGTTCACATAGAAAGAAAAGCTTTCGAGAGTTGACGGTTGAAAATTGTAATAGTGGAGAAACGCTTCAGAATAAGTATAAAACAACAATTGGGTGCTACAAAAATTAGTCATCGTACACAATTGGTCGTATGTTCGATAAAGGTGTGATTCTTTTTCACGCTCTTCACTCCTCAATGTAAAAACATGTGGTTCAATCGTACTTAACACAGCGTGAGAATGAAGACAGCATGTTGAAAATAAAAATGTACCCTACGATCGAGGTAAGTAGAGGATCTTGCCAAAAAAAACTGGCAACTGAATGCCCACATTTATCTTTTAGATTGATTAAAATGTTGCGAAAAAGACTAAAACATTATCTATTTTGAAAATAGAGAAAAACTCAATAGATGAAAACTTCTAAATATACAAACAACAATGTAGATTTTTAAGCAACCACTACTTGTTCTCGTGTGACGCTTCCTGCACAGCTAGAAACATCTGGTGAACACTCGTATTTAGACTCATATCCAATGCTGTTTGTCCTAGAATAGATTGTTAGTTATTTTCTTGGTTTCTGTGAATTATTTACCTATAATTCTAATAAATTTTTTTACTAACTGTCGTTTTCCGTATTGCGACAAATTCTATATTGCAACTATTCGTCGTAGCACCCTATTGTCTTTGCGATCCATTACCATGGCTCCATTTGTCATTAGATTAATGCTCGTAGACTCCAGTATGAGAAATTCTACTATCTATATTCAGTTGTGATAAAAAGTATTCGTAAGCGTTGCAATATATTCAAAACATTTTTTCATATTTGTATGTTTGTCTATATTGTATTTACTGTTTATCCTGACAATATGGTTATCGAAATCGCAACAATTATGCTGAATTTATATTCTTTTCTTCGTATTGATCATTGAATTTTTTTCAAATCTATGTAAAACAAATGTTTTGAGAGTGATCTCTAATGATTATGAAGCTTGTAAATATTCCTTTGAAAATAATCTCTTTCTCAAATGTTGTTTAAAGATTTCAACAAGTTCGAATTATAGTTTTTGAAATATTTTATTATCCTCCTTGAGTTTTGACTTTTACTTTTGAATTCCAATGGTTTCTCATTCATTTGATTAATCATTTTTGTATTTATCTTTTTTAAACCTTTCTGATTATTGTTCACCATCAAGAGAGTCACTATAATCGTAGTTCTTTGTAGATAAATCATTGTTAGTATGACGAACTTGATGCAAATAGACAAAACTCTCCTCTCCGTTCGTGTGGAACATTTTCTTCACTTAATAACAGGCAAGCTTATTTTTAGATAACCTTTTATATTTATCCAATCATGTTTTATTAACAAAATACTAGATACTAAATATAAACGAAGGAAACTATTTCATCTCCTTTACTTCTAATAATAATAATAATAATTTATAATCTTGTTCCTGCTCGTCGCACAATAGTGGCAAGAATTTTCTGTTTTTGTTAATCGTTCACTTTTTCTTTATGTCTAGTGATGTATCAACGAATTTTTTTTTAAATTTATCTTACTATGAATCAAACGATATGAAGCAGTAATGTGATGCGTTGAACAATTTGAAAAAGTTTTGATTTCTTTCTTTTGTGCATGTTGAATATTGACTGTTATGTCTGGGTAATCGTACAAATGACACGATATCTGTTTGATTGAAGATTATTATTGTGATTGATCAAATTACATTAATCATATCTTGCATTCTTTATAATTTAGAATCTCCGTTGAATATAATGAACGATTAATCATAGAAATGATCTTCTCATTTATTAACTAAATCTTTTTTTTTTTTATCATTGATGAAAACTTCAATTTTAGATCGTTTTTACAAGAGAGAATGTGTGGTGAAGGAGTTTGTCATTTTCAATGATAAACATATCTTCACAATGTTAGTTTGTTCTTCAAAGCTTCATTTTATTCTTAATTATGTTCCTGACATTAACATAAGAAAACATTTGTTCTCTAAGAATGCGTTGAGACATACATAATTAAATTTTAATTCATGTTTATGGTTGAAAATTGAACACGAAAAATTCTATTCATATATAAAAACACTTGATATTGTTTGTTAATGCTTAGATAGATGTATGTCTCTTCAAAGTAACTCAATTATAAACATTCATTCTATTCAAAGACTTCATATTCATATAAAGGAGAATCTTTTCTCAATGAAGTAATATGTATATGAGAACATCACAATTTTTCATGTTATAAATGATGAAAAAAAAATGTCTTACTTAATTTTGTACATAAAACGATAATTAATCATCATGATATTGTATGATGTTTTACATAAAATCATCTACATGTCTATTGTAGTACCTTTCTTTCAATTGAAATCAAAATGAAAGAAAAAAGAAAAGGTGTTAGCCTCTATTCAAGATACTTAAACAAACTATGGGTAGAAAGAAAAGAAGAGAGAATACTATAAGTATAATCAATAAGAGAAAAAGAAATGAAGAACGAAGGAAAGGCAGGTTCGTATGTATGTGTGAGTCAAATAGGCAGGCGACGAACTTAATGCAAATAACAAAAAGAAGGAGAGACAGAAATTGATCTTGATCCTGGTTGTTATAACTGCACACCTTTAAGATAATGTACACGATGTCGGTCACTATTTTATTGTTCAGACAATTCAAATAAAGTGAAAGAAAAAGAGAAAGAACATGTACATGTGAATTATTTTGATAAATCAAATTGTCTACATAAAATTTAGTTTCAAATGGCGAGTAATGAAACATTTCCTCAAATAGCCTATCCAATTCGTGTTATTGTACCTATTGTTTATACCATTATTACTTTAATTGTTTTTATCGGTAATACATTGAATTTTTATTCATTATGCGTTAGTACTGATCGATTTGGTCGAAAAAGTATTCATGTACTTATTTGGAATTTAATTACCGAAGGAACAATATGGACATTAATATTTTATATAGTTAAAATGGTATCTTATGCTGATTTAGGTGAACATTTTGCTTTAAATAATGGTAAATGGTTAAATGATTTATGGTGTAAAGCAGAAATGTATATATTACGTATAATGGATTTCGTTCTTGCTTATACAATTGTATTTTTATGTCTCGATCGTTGTGTTAAAAGAAAAAAATGTTGTTATGGTCAACGTCGTTTTGTTAGTGGTATCTGTATATCAGTATCACTATGGCTTGCTGTTTGTTATGCATTAATACCAATATTATTTTTCAATCAACAATTAAAACCATTAAATTATGGTGCATATGAATGTATTTATAATGAAACACAAATAAATCAATTAACATGGTTAGATTTACAACAAATTCAAACACCAAATAGAATAATTTATTTACTTGATTTTATATT